CAGGCTAGACCTCCCAGGCGGGACCCGGGATGAGAGGACGCCGAACCCTGCGAATCTGACGAAAACTGCTCTCCAAGGGTAAGAGCAGAAATCAAGCCTCCTTCAAGAGCTAGAGAGGCCTACGGCCACACGGAAATAAGCGCAGGCGAGGGACTCCAAAGCCAGGCTCAAGTGCAGAAGCCAACGTCCCGGGAAACCCCTCGAAGTCCCCGAGAATCCCGAATCTATTCCAACCTCTACCCCCACATCCTCCCAAATTCCAGCCCAGCCCAGCCCGCCCAAACCCCTTCTATCCCACCTCTGACAGACAGCGCGCGCCCGACCAGAGGCTGCTTGACCTCGAGGCGGCCTGGTCCCAACACGCCACTGCTGCCGGAGCATGCGTGGCCCCGCCCCCAGGGTCCGCTCTAACCAATGAGAATTCCTCTCCGTGCCCACGGCCCCGCCCCCGCCGCGGCTCGCGGCTATTTTAAAGGTCATAACTGTCAACCATCGGATCATACACCTGGCCAAGCGGCTTGATTCACACCACACACCGCCGCACGCCACACCCAGCTCATTTGCACCCCATGGGACGTACCCTCAAACTCACACCTCAATGCCCATGCACCCGCTACCCGGCATCCCCTCGCCAGCGCAGATCCGTCCACTTGTCACCCGACTTCTACAGCACTGTGCGTGAGGGGAGGCAGAGGGCCCTGAATCCCAGGAACAGCGTGGTGCTGCCTGTGAAGGCAACGTGCGGGGTGGGCCGGGTAGCCAGGGGCCAGGGCATGGCTGGGGCTGGGGTGGTAGGAGTGAGGCCAGGGTAGGGGGAACAGCTAGGGTGAGAGGCGCTGTGGTCAGATGGAGACACAAAACAGGGGCCCGGGAGGAGAGAGAAAGAAGACAAGAAATGGTCTGAGGTTCCTGACCTGCTGGATACTGGAGTGGCCTAAGGATAGGGAAAATGGTGTAGAGCAGGAGAGGTCTATTTAATTCTGCTTCTGATAGTTATGAGTGACTTTGAAAACAATGAAACATGATGAGGTCGCCAATGAAGGAATATAGATGAAAAGGATTGTATTGAGCCCCAGGACACACAACTAGTTTAGAGGCCTGGGAGAAGAGGGAAAAGCAGCCAAGGAGAGGAGATGAGCTGTGATAAATGCTGCTGCTGTGTCAAGATGAGAGAAAATTTGGTGACCTTGACAGGAGCAGTTTCAGTACCATAGCGAGGACAAAACCCTGATTGCTGTGTGGATTCAATAGACCAGGAGGACAGATTTGGTATATCCATATGATGGAAAACTGCTAAGCAATAAAAAGGAATGAACAATTGTTACACACAACGACATGGATAAATCTCCAAATAATTATGCTGAGTGAAAGCCAGACACAAAAGAATACATATTGTATGATTTTATTTATATAAACTTCTAGAAAATGCAAACTATAGTGGCAGAACAGTGGTTGCCTGAGGCAAATGAGTACCATAAGAAATGATTACAGCCATCACAGCTCAAGGGAAGAAGAGACCTACGGAGTTCATGAAGGCAGGAGAAACCACGAAGAGAGTAAGTAAAAACTGCTCTTTCGGCAGCGGCCGCTTTAAGACTGGAGTTGCTGGGCTGCCCGTAGCTCACTTGGGAGAGTGTGGTGCTGATAACACCAAGGCCACAGGTTTGGATCCCTATATAGGGATGTCCAGTGATGGAGTTTGGATGTGTTGTCCCCTCCAAAACTCATGTGGAAATTTTATCTCCAATGTGGCAGTGTTGGAAACTGATTGAGTCATGGGGGCGGATCCCTCATGAATGGATTAATGCTCTCCCTGGAGGAGGGGGGATTAATGAGTGAGTGCTTGCTCTATTAGTTCTCCCGAGAGCTTGTTGCTTAAAAAGACCCTGGCACCTTCCCCTCCCCCTCTCCCCCTCCCTCTCCCTCTCCCTCTCCTTCCCCTTCCCCTCCCCTCCCCCTCCTCCTCGTATAACTTCGTATAATGTATGCTATACGAAGTTATTACGAGAGATCGGAAGAGCCCTCCTCTCTCCTCTCTCTCTCTCTCCTCTCTCTCTCTCTCCCTGCCTCCCTCCACCATGAGTAGAAGCAGCCTGAGGCCCATGCCAGGTGCAGCTGTGCCAGAATCGTAAGCCAAATAAGCCTCTTTTCCTTATAAATTACCCAGCCTCAGGTATTTCTGTTATAGCAACACAAAACGGAGTAAAACAGCCGGTTAGCTCACGGTGGTGAGCGTGGTGCTGACAACACCAAGAAAAGAGTTAAGATCCCCTTACCAGTCATCTTTAAAAAAAAAAAAAAAATGACTGGAGCTGCTGAGCTCATGTAGCAGGAGCCAGTAGAAGCCACAGCTGTGCCCTTTGAATGGAGTTGCTTGGAGGCTGCAGGGGAGAAGAGGGCCTTGGTGGCCCCCAGGACAGCAAAACCACTAATAGAGTTACCGTGGACCCACACAGGAGCAAGGAGCCAGAACAACTGAAAAAAGGAGACATTCAGAGGCTGGTGAGTCATCACAAAGGATGGAGCAGGGCCCATCCCATGGGAAGTGTTTGGAGCACAGGTGGTGGGGGAGATGGGCCCACCAGGGGAACACTGGGACACAGCAAGGTCAGGTGATCCGCCCCCCCAATCAGCACAGGACTACTCAGAGGAGACTGGTCAGGAATACAGAATTGCATGGGGTAAAGTTTGATGAAAAGACTCAGGCCCAGATCAGAGTTTCTACACAACCCAGGTGCACTGGATCTCTGGAGAGCCAGAAGTACCTATGAGGTCAACCATTAAGCCCTGGGCTGCACAAAAAGCCTTCCCTAGAGAAACAGCAGCAATGCAGAAATTTAACTCAACCACATAGCTCAAGTACTGGTTCCCACAGGAAGTTCCCCCATTTTAGAAGTAAGCAAAGGACAAAAAATTAGTTCTGGCCCAGGCACATCACCAGTGCCTCAGGGCCTGCCAGGGGACCTGAGGCTGGAGCTGGGGATTGGACCCCTGCCCACCACCAAGCACACAGCAGTGCATCGGAGCCCGCCAGGGGACCTAAGGCATACAGCCGGGGACTGGATCCCCCCCCACAACCAGGCATACCACCAACACCAAGGAGCATGCCTAAAACATCACTTCCATGTGGGTGGCTCACCACAGCCACCACAGTAACGATGGCTGCCACAAAAGTGGCTAGACATCACAACCACCACACAGATGGTCCATGAGCCACTGGAGTGCATTGACACAAGGAGAGTCACCAGCAGAGACAAAAGAAGAGGATGTCTCTCTCCACAAAGCCCATTCCAGAGTGACAGAAGATGCATCTGCTCTATGATAATATTGGGGGACCTGAACACACCTCTCAGCATTGGACAGATCATCTAACCACAAACCAACAGAGTAACCATTACTTTTTCAGAGGGAGAGAAGAAATCTAGGGTTATCAGTGGTAGAAGGGGGGAGGGAGAGGCGATAGGGAGAGATTGGACAAGCGGCATAAAGAATAAGTACAATTTGTAACAATATATATACTAGTGATATTGATTTGATCAACATAAGTAAACACGTCTGGTGAGTTTCCTTAGATCTATGTGCGTGGTCTGATGAGTTTACTTAAATCGATATGCTTGGTGTGATGACTTTACTTAGATCGAAGTAAGTAAACATTGAATCCCAAAAAAACGTATAATCATAATTCAATAAAAAAAAAAAGGATTACAAATGGGCGGCAGGAAACTTGGGTATGATGGATACGGTTACTACCTTGATTGTGGTGATTTCATAGGTGTGTGTGTATATATATATATATATATATATGAAAATATATCAAATTGTACACTTTCATATGTGCAGTTTACTGTGTATTAATGATACCTAAATAAAGCTTTAAAAATAAAAACATTACAGATTGAGTTGAAACTCTATTCTGCCCTCCCTGATGCCATTCCCCTGGCTCCCCTCTCCAGGTGACTTCTATCCTGAATTTGTTGCTTATCATTCTCATGCACACTTATATGTTTAGATCATGTTTGTATCCATAAACAGCATGTAGCATTGTTTTGCATGTTTGTATCATTTTATAAATGGTGTACTTTGAACATCTTTCTACAACTTTAAGATTTATCTCAGTGGACTCAAATATCTATAGACCATTGGCAGTAACTCCAGTATTTCGTTGTGTAACTATAGTCTGATTTCCTCATTGTCCTGTTGGTAAACGCTAGGGCTGCTTACAGTTTCCCCCCTGTGTAGATGCTACAATGAACGTTTTTATACCTCTGAATCCATGTAGGAGGGGCTCTCCAGGGCAACTACACAGGGGTAGACTTTCTAGATATTAGGGCTCGTGCCAATGACACCAGCAGGGGCTGAGTGTTTCCTTCTGAACTTTTATTGACATATAGGCTGATTACCAGCTTCTTTTGGTTAGTAAAGGGGAACTGTTCATGTTCCTGTGTTACAAATAATAAAGTCAATAATTTGCCCTAGGGTAAGCTCAAAATGAAGCTATCGTGTCAAATCTTTGCATGTTCCTTCTTAAGCTCCTCTATAATGCTCTCCTCCTTCACTCGGGCACTTGTAACATTCACCTGTCACAATTAGCATCTCAGTCACTACAAACACCTAGGAAGGAGATAAGTTGGCAGAACCTTATTCGGAAGCAGCAATTTTGTCCTAAGAGCCATCAACCCCTTTAACATTTCTTCTGACTCCATAGAATGCTTTCTAAATGTATATCCCTGGCAGTATGGCTGCATAGTTTTTAAAATGCAGGATTTGCCTCTAAAATATTCTTCAATATTTCATTGGCTGCGAGTTCATCAGACTCCACCATAGAGCCCTATATGTTTCTATATTTAAGGGCTCTCCCAGGCTGGTAATGCCAAGGGGCAGTTTTCTCTCATAGAGAAGAAGAAACAGAGCAGCAAGCCGAAAGGGACAACAGGCCAGGTGATGCTTAAACAAGTAGCAGCATTGTGTAGTCACAACCTCCCTTGTCACTAAGCAACAGGAAGTTGACCTCCGGAGATTCTCTTTCCTCAGACATAGCCTCAAAAAGACAAGAGGAAAGTTTGCCTTTTCCACTCCCTTCCTGGGAAGATGCAAAGTGCTTTAGTAGGCTCCTGGGTAAGAGTATACTTTACAGTTAATCCTGGCCCCTGGCCCCTCGCCTTGGGATTATACCTGAAATCTGAGTGAGTCATGAGAGTGAAATGAGCAGGGTTTCATCTAGCATCTAGCCTGATGGAGGACCTGGAGCTGCTTAGGTCACCCCTAGAGGCTGCTTAGTCTTCCTGATACCATACCCCTATCCATGCCTTCTGGTCTCCTGCTAGTTGGCTGAACCTCCTAATTGTCTAGCCACCCCATTTATTACAAATCATTGTTTGAGCCCCCACCCCCCCACCCCCAAACTGTTGGATTTTGATTGCTCTCTAGTCTGGGAACATCTTGAGGGCAAAAGTTGTGTTTTTGTTCATCTGTATTTCCCATGCCCAGCCACATGCCTGGAACACAGTAAAGCTCCAGTAAATACCATTGAATAAGGCTGGCCGGTTGGCTCAGTTGGCTAGAGCATGGTGTTGATAACACCAGAAGCCAAGTGTTCGAATCCCTGTACCAGCCGCTGGGGAGAGGAAAAAAAAAAGTACTGTTGAACTAACCTGAATAGAGAGCAAGGGGTTCTTTGACAGATGGTGGAGGGATGGACAGACAAGGTAACCTACGTCTTCAGTGGGATGAAAAGATATGTGGCTTCCCAGTCCTATTGAGGAGCCCACTGTGATCGCCAGAGACTAAGCTTGAGACAAGTTCCTCTGTTCATGGTTATGATTGTGAAGGACCAGCCACATCGTTCTCTCAAGGAAGAACTCAGAACAAAGAGGTTGGGCCCTAGGAGTTTCCAGACATGATCATCCACAGGTTGCAATCGTCCACAGGTTGTATGCCTAATGACATCAGCCTTTCTTGGGCACATTTCTATTTTTTTTTTTTGAGTGGGGGTGGCTAGCCAGTTGGGATATATGAACCCATGACATTGGTGTTTATAAGGCTGTGCTCTAACCCACTGAGCTAACTGGCCAGCCCTGGGCTTATTTATGTCTTCTGCCAGTGCCTATCTCTGAAATTCTCTTGAGAAGATGTCCTGTTAGTGAAATTAATACTCCTTTTGGAAAGTTTATCCCTTGCTTGGGTGCTCCAGTTTCAGAGGGTGCCTCTTTTGCCCCAGAATAGAGTGTGTGGCAAAAGGGTGTTCACGGGCTGGCCCGTGGCTTGCTCGGGTGAGTGTGGTGCTGACAACACCAAGTCAAGGGTTAAGATCCCCTCACCATTCAACTTTTTTTTTTTTTAAAAGGGTGTTCACGACTTTGTCAATAGATGCAGAAGAAGGATCCACTGGACCCTTGCTCTTCAGGGACCCTTGATCTACCATTAACATTGTGGGGAGGACAACAATGGGGATTTCCTTTCAAGCTCCTTAGGGAAAGATCATCCTGCTGGACAGTGGCCCTGTCCACAGAACTCTGCTCTGAATGAATGGTACCACTTTGCCATACACGCATAGCCCTCCCAGGAGGGTCAGCACAGCTGAAGCCAACTGTCCCAGTGATGAATGGAAATTCCTTTCTGATGGCCCCTCTCCAGGAGTGTCCCTCCTGTTGAATTTTTTCTATTCCCTCAGGAACTCCCATGAGAGCCTTCTGGCCTGGCTTCCTTGGAAACTTCAGCAGGGGCCCTGAAGTCTGGGACCCAAGATGGGGTTTGAGTGGGCTTTACCCTCATGCCTGTCTTGTTATAGCACAACAATGGCTTCTATGGGCACTACAGAAGCCAATTCAAGAGTGAAAGTGCTGGAGAATACCGCCTTGCAGCCAAGCCCCAGCCTCCGGCAGTGTTCCTACAGCGATGTCAGGTACAAGGAAGCCCTGGGGGCAGCGGGAGTGACTGGGCCAGTTTCTGCCTTTCAAAGGCCCCCAAAGCATCATTCCCAGTCCCTTCACAGCTGTACTGATACCTGAGGCCAACCTATCCCGGGGAAAGGCATGAGGCTTTGCCCCTCTTCCCTGAAATTTCAGATCTTCCCTCTAAAGACAGAGTGGAAAAAAGTGGTTGCCAAACTGGACAGGACAGTCTAGCTCACTGCCCCTTCCAGATGGAGGAACAGTCAGGGCCAGGTGGGGTGGGTAGTCATGATAAGCCTCCAGAACCCGAGAAATAAGCCTTGAGTTTTACTGACAACTACCCTCAAGTTCAGATTCCTTGATGCCAAGAAAGCCCGTGGTCCATCCTACAGCCAGCTTCACAGTCCATAGCCTTGGGAGTGAGTAGGCCTCCTCTGGTCAGGGAATTAGTGCAGGAGGTAGCTGGGTACTGGCCTGCACATCTGGCCAGGGAGGACTGGAAAGGAGTGTTGGCAGAGGTGGCCTAGAGTGGCTGGAATGGGCTTTCAGAGAACAGGAAAGGGATGCAGGGTTCCAGGCCTTCCACCACTTACAGGCCTGGAGACAAGGAGCGGGTACTGTGCATCATCAGTCAGGGTTCCAACAGTACAAAGCATACTCAAAACAGGAGAACTCAGGAGGGTGCATTTACAAAGGAGTGGGTGTGGAGGCCTCAGGAAAAGTCAGTCTCACAGATTGGTAACAACCAAGTAGTCAGTACTACTGAGCCCAAAGGAGCAGGCATGGCTCCTACAACCCAGAAGAAGACAGAGAGTTGTGGAGAGGGCCACCCTGAGAGGAGCAGTAATCCTGGGTGGAGAGATAGCCTGGTGGGATCTGGCCTGGGAAGGAGCCAAGGGAAGAAACACCTCCTCCCTGTTTTCCTCCATCTCCTCCCAGGGCTCCCCAGTGGCTAGAGTGATGGGATCTGGTGATGAATGCACTAAGGGCAGCCTCCTGAACAAGAGTAGAGTTGGGAAGGGCCCAGAGGGACCTGAAGGGATGCCTGGAACATGCTCCACCCACTGCAGCTTCTTGCTTCTCAGCCTCTTGCCAGGTCCTACTTGATCTGCCATCTGGATTCTCCAGGAATTGCTTTCCCAGGCTGATAACAGAATCCTGGAGGTTTCTATGTTGTGGAAACTGAACTTCTTTAGCATTTGCAGTTGGAAGGAATGCCTAGAACTGCCTATCAAGCCAGGCCCAAATGCAGCTCCAGACTGTCCATCTGGGGCCACTTCTCTTTTGAGAGTGATAGGGTCTGGGTAGCACAGGAATAGAAGCAACCCAGAGACTTCCTGCTGGATATTTGTAGTAGCCCTCAGTGGCAGCTCTCATCCTAGAGACCAGAAATCTCAGTCTGTTAAACCAATCCCCCAGGAAAAGACATGTAGGGGACATGTTTTGGCTGCTGCTCAAAGTGAAGACTTGCTACATTAAGAATTTACTAGCATTATCATCAGCCCCAAATAGCATGATGTGTGTCTTGGGCTCAGGTTGTATAAATGTCAAGTCTAATGGCTCTTTCTAGGTGTAAAGCTGTTTTAATTAATGGGACTGCTGAGGGAAGGTGCACATATTATTTTCTCATTGGCTGAGAGGTACCAGGTTTCAGGTGGCTGATTTAAGCTATGGTTGTTTAAAGCCTTTCTAAGATGTGGCATCCACTTTCCTTTGGTTTGGAGGCAGGTAAAAATTTTGTGCATAACATTCAGATGCAAGAAAATTCTTTTCTTTTTTTCATTCTTTCTTATAAACCAGATTAATCTATTTCTAGCCTTCAACTGCCTGACTCTTGGAAAATGCAATCCTGTTCTCATTTGTTCCTAAGGTCAGACAAGAGTGCCAGAGACTTATGGTTGGGGGCGGGTTCTTCATCTGCAGTACCATGATTACAGTTGTCCCTGCTGCTGCCCCATGCCTCAGTCTGCCATAGAGGCTCCTCTCTCAGCAACACACTGACTGCAGACTGCCCAGCCTCCACAGGGGCCCTTAGCCCTCCCACATGTAAACACCACACCCTCCCAGGAAACCTACCTCTTCTCTAATGCTTAACATGGAATCCCAACCCTAGCCTCACTTGCTCAGAGACCAAGGGTTTCACCACTTTGGTGGTAAAGGAGCCCTGAATGATTTAGAAACAAAGATGCAAGTGATAATTCTTCTCAGAGGCAAGAATATACCCAAACTGCCAGGCAAGAGAGGAAATGACTGCACTTCTCACCAGGCTCCCACAGTTGTTAAAGAGCAAAACTCGTATCAGTGGGAGTCAATAGATTACCTTGCCACTGCAGAAATAGTTTCCAGAGTCAGAACTGCCTCCAACAACAAACATAGGCATCCATATTCTAGGGCTATATACAATTCTGTAGCTGAGGATAGAGAAAGGGGAGAGATTTGGGGGTCAATCGGAAATTGTCCCAGACTCCCAGATTTTTAAAAATTGAAACTTTCATTAAGATGATTACAGATTCAGGGCCGGCCCGGTGGCGCACTCGGTAGAGTGCGGTGCTTGGGAGCACGGTGGCGCTCCCACTGAGGGTTCGGATCCCATATAGAGACCGGCCCGCTCACTGGCTGAGCGCGGTGCGGGCGCGACACTGAGGGTTGTGATCCCATTGCCGGTCACGGTACGGGAGCAACACCGAGGGTTGAGATCCCGTTACCGGTCACGAAAAAAAGACAAAAAGGAAAAAAAAAAAAAAGATGATTACAGATTCATAAGCAGTTGTAAGAAATAATAGAAATCCCTTATACACTTAGCCTGGTTTCCCCCAGTGGTAACATTTTGCAAAACAATAGTATAATATCACAACCAGGACATTGACATGGATGCAATTCACCAATTTCATTCAGATTTTCCCAGTTTCACTTGTACTCATTTGTGTGTGTATGTGTATGTTTTAAGATCTATAAAATTTTATCACCTGTGTAGGTTTGTGTATCCACCACCACAGTCAAAATACTGACCAGCATCACAAGGATCCCTGGTGCTGTCCTTTGATAACTTCTCTATCCCTCCCCTGCACCTAACCACCAATCTATCCTCCATTTCTAAGATTTTGTATTTTAAAATGTTATATAAATGGAACAATCCAGTATGCAGCCTTTGTAGACTGGCCTTTCTTGCTCAGCATAATTTTCTAGAGATTCATCCAATTTGTTGCATGTATCAGTAGTTGATTTGTTTTCATCACTAAGTAGTATTCCATGGTACATATGTATCAGTTTGTTTAACCATTCACTTATGAAAGGATATCTGGGCTGATTCCAATTTGGGGCTCTTACAAATAAAGCTACTATGAACATATTTGTACAGATTTTTGGAAGAACATAAGTTTTTGTTGCTCTGGGATAAATGCCCAGAAGTACAATTGCTGGGTCATATGATAGTTGCATGTTTAGTCTTTAAAAGAAACTACCAAACTGTTTTCCAGAGTGGCTGTATCGTTTTACATTCTCAGCAATGAATGATCCAGTTTCTCTGCATTGTCTCCAATATTTGGGGTTGTCTCTATTTTTTTTTTTTCCTTTTTGTCTTTTTTTCCGTGTCCGGCAACGGATCGCAACCCTCAGTGTCACGCCCGTACCGGACCGGGGACCGGCAACGGGATCGCAAACCTCGGTGCTGCACCCGCACCTCGCTCAGCCAGTGAGCGGGAACCGGTCTGTATGTGGGATCCGAACCCTCGGCGGGAGCGCCACCACGCTTCCCAAGCGGCGCACTGTAGCAGTGTGCCACCGGGCGGCCCAAAGGGGTTGTCTCTATTTTTAATTTTAGCATTTCTGATAGATATGCAGTGATATATCTCATTGTGGTTTTAATTTGCATTTCCCTAATGTTTGATGCTGAACATCTTTTCATGTGTTATTTGCCAACTATAAATCCTCTTTAGTGAAGTGTTTTCATGTTGTTTGCCCATTTTCTTTTTTTTTTTTTTTTTAAAGATGACCGGTAAGGGGATCTTAACCCTTGACTTGGTGTTGTCAGCACCGCACTCTCCCGAGTGAGCCACGGGGCCGGACCTGTTTGCCCATTTTCTAATTAGATTGCTGTATAGATTGCTGTTTTACTGTTGTGACAGTTCTTTATTTATTCTAGATACTAGTCCTTTGTTGGATATTTGGTTTGTAAATATTTTCTCCCAGTCTATAGCTTGTTTTTCATCCTCTTCACATAGAATTTCACAGAGCAAAACTTTAAAAAAATTTTTGATGAAGTCCTTTTTTTTTTTTTTTTTTTTTTTTTTTTTGTCTTTTTCGTGACTGGTAAGGGGATTGCAACCCTTGGTGTGGCATCACCCGCACCGCGCTCAGCCAGTGAGTGGACCGGCCATCTCTATATAGGATCCGAACCCGCGGCGGGAGCGTCGCTGTGCTCCCAGCGCCGCACTCTCCCGAGTGTGCCACGGGGCCAGCCCTGAAGTCCTATTTATTAACTTATTCTTTTATGGACCTTGCTTTTGGTGTCAAATCTAAGAGCCCTTTGCCTAGCTCTAGATTCTGAAGATTTTCTCCTTTTTTTTTTTTTTTTCTAAAAGGGCCCTGGGTTTTTAATCCCCATCCTGTCAGCTTGCTTTATGAGGAAAGTTAAGGCCAACTGGCTTCCTATCTTTGTGGAACTTTCATTCTGTTTGGAAGCTACCACTGCCTGTGTAAGGCAAGAAGTCCCCAAAGAGGATCTTATTAAAAACACAGGGGGCTCTGGGGCTGGCCAGTTAGTTCAGTTGGTTAGAGCTCAGCGTTATAACCCCAAGTTCACGGGATCAGAACCCCGTACCAGCCAGCCACCAAAAAAAAAAAGACATGATGAGCTCTACCCTGAAGATTCTGGTTCAGAGATCTGGGATGAAACCAGCCCCTGCATTTTATCTAGGAACTTGCTGTCAGCCATTGCTCATACCCCCAACCCAGCCAAGCCTGAACTCAACAGATCAGGTCACTTCAGGTCTGCAGCAGGAGAAGCTGAGTGGCTGTGGAGGGTATGGTTCTAGGAGCAGAAACATGGCACAAAGGCAAGGAGATGGTCTTGGGAGAGAATCCTGCCAAGGTCTGGAGGCCTGAGAGGTGGTCTTTCTCTGCCTGGGTATTGGGCAAGGCTGTCTGGCCCCAACTGAGCCAAAGCAAATGTCCTGGGGCCAGGACTTTCTGTCCCTGTTCATTGATTTAACAGCAAACAGTTATTGAACACAGTGCCAGGCACAACTCAGTTACAGATGTGAGCAAGACAGAACAACCTTTGCCCATAAGAAGCTCATGTTCTGATGGGGGACATAAGATGATAAGCAACATCATAATGTATAATTATATAGTATGGAGGTGAAAAATGTAAAGTTGGGGTGATGGGACTACTAGCTAATGCTCAAGGAAGGCCTCTCAAGAGGGAGATAAGAGGGATTTATATGGCCAGCAGAAGGAACAGGTGGTACAAAGACCTGAGGTGGGAGCATCTGGCGTGTTCGAGGAGCAATGAGGTGGCCAGCATAGCTGAAGGTAACAGAAGGACCAATACTGTGTGGGTCTCATGAATGACTATTATGACTTTGGTTGTTACAAAATGAGTAATTATTGTGGATTTTCAGAAAATGAGATGCGATCTGATTTATGTACTAAAAGAATTATTCTGGCTGCTGAGAGAACAGTAGACTGAAGGGGCAAGTTGTCTTTTTTTTTTTTTAAAAGATGACCGGGGGGCCGGCCCCCTGAAGGGGCAAGTTGAAAGCAGGACATCAGGCAGAAATTCTCACAGTAATTCAGGCAAGAGAGGAAAGTGGCTTGGACCAGGAAAAGTAGTGGACATGCTGAGGTGTGGTCTGATCCTGGCTACATTTTGATGGAAATATCAACAGGATTTCCTAGCGCATTTGATGTGGAGTATGAGAGAAGAGAATAAAGGGGTCTCGAGGTATTTGGCAGGATCTCGCTGCCATGGCCTGAGCTGGGGGAGGCTGTAGACAGTGTTGGGGATGATCCAAATCTCAGCTAAGTGTTTGGTGATGCCCCATTAGGTATTTACATGGAGATGTGGAGTAGGCAGTTGGCTATTGAGTCTGGAGCTCTGGAGAGAGCTAGAGCTTGAGACAGAAATTTCAGTTTCCAGATGGCATTTAGGGCCAAGATACTGGGTATGCTGATGAGGGAATAAGTGTGAACTTAGAGGAGGAAAGGACTAAAACCTAATCCTGGACAATCTAGAGTTAAAGGACCAAATGTGAAATTCAGTCATAGCCCCCCTGATGCCAGGATGTCTTGGCAGGTGCCTCAGCTCCCTCCTCAGTCAGAGGCTCCAGAGGCTTCTTCATGGCAAGTCCTGGGATACCTCATCCTCAGTGAGCTGTTGCTTTAATTTGGCTCTGCCCTTTCAGGGTATTGGCAGTTTAGTAGTTTAGGGGTAGCAGCTCCTGGCAGTTTCCCTCCATGATGGGCCCTGAGGGAAGGTAAGCATCATTTTGTCCATTCACCTTTCTGTCTTTCAAGGAGCCAGCGCAGCAACACTTCTTCTCCAAGCATGACAACCGCTCTTCCTTTGACAAAGTGAGTCCTGGGGACAGGAAGGAGAGGGCAGTCCCCCAGCCTAGGTTGAAGTTGAGGACACAGCAGGTGGAGGGGATAAGACATTGAGGGGAGTGAGGGCTCCTTCTGCAGGCAGAGGAGTGCCTATCTTCCCCCACAATCTTTCTCCTCTGGGAAACAGCCCATTTCTCAAACAGAGGCACCTCTGTGTTGGTTTCCTCCACAAGTTTGCCTGACAATGTGCAAACATCCTGTGGGCCACTGAATTTCTGGGGCTTCACCCTGGAATGGAAGGTATCACTGGGGAGGCAGGCCAAGGAGGCCAGGGTACAGGCCAGAGAGGTCAAGCACAGACCAGGCATCACAAAGCAGACACGGGTTTAGGAGGGGCCCAAAGAGGTGCCTGGTGCCAGGACTGTGGGCCAAGGGCCCGTACCGTTGAGGAGGGCCCCTACTGCCTGCTGCAGGGAATCGGAAGGCGGAAAGACCTGGAGCGCCTGTGGCGGCGGCACACCTTCCTGCACTGGGCGCCCCGTGAGCTCGAGTTGCACCAGCAGGGGCCCCTGGAATCATCCTACCAAGCTGATTTCCGGTCAGGGCCAGGACTTGGTGGCCTTCCACAGCGCCTCGTCCACTTTGTGCAGATCCAGCCTCCCCGTGCCAGCACCACCTACCAGCAGAACTTCTGCCAGCCAGCCCGGGGTGGCCATTGTGGCAGCAACAAGATAGGGCCCCAGGCGCTGGTCACCGACATGTTGCCTGATCTCCCAGGGATTCCAAGACCCAAGCTGCTGCAGCACTACCTTCATGCTGGGGTCTCTGAGTGTCTAAATTGGTCCAGAACATTAAACAAGGACAGCTGACACAGCAGCCTGTCTGCACTTGTAGCTCAAAAGGTGTCAGAGGCCATACAGCAGCAGTGCACTGTCAGTACCTGTACTTGGCTCTGGTGCCCATGGTGTCTGTATGCTGGGCAGGGGAGGTCTGCCCTGGGAGCTCTGCCATTGAGTGAGAAAGGGTAAGTCTTACAGGAGGCTAAGAGTATAGGAGGGTGCCATGGCCACAGCAGGTGAGTTCCAAGGCCCCAAATACTTTGTTCTTGCAGCAAACCTACTTGTGAGCTCCTTGTACTTAGTGTATCTGCAGGGAAAGCAGAGCCAAAGGCCCCTACTAATGAGCAGAAAAGGCTGAAGGAAGAGGCAAGGATTGGAAGCCTCCTCCAGGATGCTGCTGCCCTCAAGGAGTTTGGTGGGTAGCCATGCAGCCCTCCCCGAGAAATGGCTGCCCCACAAGGACAGGAGTTTGCCCTGGTCACAGCCCCCACTGAATCACCCCTCCCTTTGGGGATGAGCAGAGGCTTTGAGGAGACAGTGTGTGACTTGGACCTGGAGGCCATCCTAACCCTGTGGTGTTTTGTTGTTTTCTGAGTGCTTCTCTGGTCATCCTATCAGGGCCCCTAACACCTAGGACAACAGGAGAGGACTGTCATCCCATGTCACCAAAGGAGAAGCTGAGGCTTAGATGGAGCTGAGACACCAGAACAAATGGGGCAAAGGCCAGATACAAGAGGCTCCCTCTGGACCCTCATCCCTGAGAGAGTTTAGACCTCCAAAGGAGGGCAGGGGCTGTGAGGGCAACATGGGAGTCCACACCAGGGCCACATACCAGATTTTAGCAGCATTTTTACTTCCACATCCAAATTCCCTGGGTCCTCACAACAGCCCTGTGAGGTAGGTAGGGCAGGAAGGTTTCAGAGATCCCCATTTATACATGAGGATGCTGAGGCACAGAGAGGTGAAATGACTTGCCCAACGTCATACAACAGTATAGAGAGCCCAAAGCCAGCATTCCTCTGGCCCTCTGGCCATTCCCATATTCTCTCCTCTATTCCCTCTGTGTCTCCCACCCTTTCTCAACTCTCCTGGGTCTACAGAGACCCTCAAGGCAGGCTGGCAGTTGGAACTTTTCAGGAATGGCCACTGGAGTGGGCCTGGTCAACTCCAGATAGGCACTGACCCTGTGGGGCATAAGGCCAGCTCTCCCCCTCCCCACTTCCCATTTAGACAGAGGGCCTAGTAGGTTCCAGGGCAAGGGTGGAGTTAGGCATGGTCCATGAATGAATGGTGGTAAAGTAGGTATGAGACATGTGTGTCCTGTGCTAAAGGCTCCCCCAGCCCAAGTCCCCAAGGTAGTGTTTCAAGTGCCCACCCCGTGCCTCCCTCATCCCACAGAGCCACAGTGAGTGCCCTCAGCAGCAAAAGGAACCACAGACATCTGCCTCTGGCATTGAGCTGCTCCAGTGGACAAGTCCCACCAGGCCTTCAAACCCCATCACAGAGACACAGTGCCTCCACAGCTTGACTGGGGCCCTGAGCCACACCCCCAATAACAAACAGCCGAGGCCCAGCCTGTAGGCTAGAGCAGGAGCAGCGGGCCGTGGGCATAGCAGGCAGTGCCTCCCAGCGCCGCCGTGCAAGACTGAAGCTCTCCACCGAGCCCAGAGGGCATGGCTGGTTTCCTGCAGGAAGAAGACAGAAGGCTGTAAGGTGCACAAGCTGTAGGGGCTCCAGGCCCTTTTGCTCCCTAAGCTCAGAGAATGGCCCAGTAGGTATGACCCCAGAATAAGCTATCAGTGCCTTGCTCCTGATTGCCCCTATTCATCATTTATTCATTCATTCACTCATCCATTCATTTTTGTTTCTATTTGTCTACTTGCCTGTGTATTCGGTGGTCATTTTTTGTCCTGCTTCTGTCTCCTAGGCCCCTGCTGGTACAGAGCCCCCAATCAGGCACTGGGGGACACCCTGCAAGGTGGGCTAGGCAGACAACTCTGCCTGCTTCATGGATAGGGACAGGGAACACTCAAAGCCCTGATCCCTGCGTTCCTGGAGAAGGGCAAAAGGTGGTGCTCATGCGGAGGCTACTCTTTCCTATCTTGGGTCCCCCCTTATCCCTAGCTCCACAGAGACTTACCAAGGCCCCCAATGGCCACGATGTGGCCCCCAAGGGAACCAACTGCAAAGTCAGCTCTCTTATCCCTCATGCGCAGGCTGCGGGGCAACTTGGTCCAGGACCCTGCAGGAGAGGGGAGGTCAGATCTAGCCACATACCCACTGTGCCCCTCCATCCCATGGAAAGTGGGAGGATAGCCCAGGACAGCCATTACTCACCATGTTCCAGGTCAAACATCTCTACAGTGTTGACAAAGTGTGGACGGGAGTAGAAATTGTGGGGCCCGGGCTGCTGCAGGCCACCCAGGCTAAAGATGCTGCCTTCGGCCATAGCACAGCCAGCAAAGGCCCGGCGGCTGGGCAGACTTGCGTGCCGGGTCCAGGTACAGGCTTCCAGATCAAAGGCTTCAAAAGCAGTCACTGGGAGCTTGCCCTGGCGGCCCCCTGTCAATGGAATTGGGGTACCTGGAGGAAGCCCAGGGGGCTTGATGGCCTCCTCACTCACCAGGTTGTTGATCGGCCTACCCCAGCCTCCCACACCCAGCTGTGTGCACAACTGCACCTGGATCATCCACCCCACAGACCCTCAGGCACTGGTGTTTGCTTTTCCAAACCCAGCAGGGCCATCAAAGGTCAAAGGTTCAGAGCAGGCCTGAATCATCCCAACAAAGCCTCTCTTATCCTGCCATCCTGGACTAAGCCTGATCCCTACCACAGCCAACCTACGGGGATGGGGACTTCTGAACTCTGAGCCCCTTTCCCACATGCCCCAGGCCCTTACCCAGGATGTAGATCTTGTTTCCATGCAGGAAGGTGGAGGCCCCATAGCAGGGTGTGGGCATGGAGGGTAGCGAAAGCCAGCAGTCCTGACGGGGCTCATACACCCGTACCTGGGCCTGGGGGGCCGTGTCAGAGCCCATTCCTCCCAGAGCATACACCATACCGTCTGCATAGAAAAGAGTAGTTTAGACTGCACCCCCACCTGGCCAGGGCACCCCACCCTGACAGCTGCTTGGGGGTGGCTGTAGACCCATGTTTGTGGCACCCTTTCTCAGCAGCAGCAACCCTACTGCCTTCCTGGAAGGGGGGCTGGGAGAGTTGGGATTCCCACTCTGGCCAGGGCCCCTCTGAGTGAAGAGCAGGAGGCAAATGATCTAATTATAATCGCCTCTGTCTCCCTGGAGACGCTATGGCAACAGAGTCTGGCATCCAAGCAGGGCTGGCCTTGACCGGTGGTCAGACCTGGAGGCCACCAGGTGGGGGCTTCCTTGGAGGGAGGAGGATGGCGGCATGGCTCAAGCCAGGGGTGAGGGGCATATGAAGATCTGCTCAGCATGGAGTCAGTCTGGGGAGGGGGATCTGCAGATCACTTGGAGGTGGAGATGTGGCTGGGAGAGGGGCATGGCCTTGCAGGAGCCTTGCCAGTATCTTTGCACTACCTCCTTTCACTAGAGTAGGTTCTTGCCTTCTGTTAGGCCCTCAGGGTCAGCTAGGGACATGTCTGGGGGCCTTGGAGTGATGGGCCAGTCAGCGGGGGGGGGAGGGGGGGGCTACCATGGCAACCATCCTAGGTCAGATTGGCCTTTGTCCACATCAGGCTCCCTGGTGTTTGTGAGCGGGGAGGGAGACTAAGCACTTGCTGGGCTCTGAGCCAAGGCCCTGCTCCCCTCCCCCAACCCCATACTATTTATAACCCTGGGAGTCATTAGGCTGTCTCCCCCCTCCTCTCTTAGAAATGGCAGGGAGGTGGCTGGGGCCTCCCATCCTCCTGGGGACCAGCCTGGGCTCTGCCCCACACCTCACAGGCAGAAAAGGCAGTTAATAGAAGGCTGTTGCATGCCCAACTCAGAGCTAGGTCAGACAGGATACAGGAAGCAAGGCCATATCCAGGGCACCCATGCAGTAATCACAGCTCTTGTACAACCTCTAAGGGTAAGGGACAAAGTCAGGAGAGAATGGAGGGTGTTGCGGCACCTGAAGGACCTTTCTTGGGAGGCTACTCACCTCTCTCCACAGTTGCAACTCCCATGGCTGCTTGAGGGAGAGTGGCCCGAGGCTCCCAGCGGCCCTCATCAGCCAGGAAGGCCTCCACAGCAGCTACTGGTCTCTGGACCTCATCCACACCACCCACCACTAGCACCTGCTTGCCCAGAACTACAGCAGCTGCACCAGCTCGGGCAGTGGGAAGGGGTGCCAGTGCCAGCCATGTGTGTGAAGCCATGTCCAGTGTTTCAGCAATGTTCAGGGGCAGTCCAGCCCGGCCACAGCCCCCCAACACCAGCAGGTGCCCATCCTGGTATGCCACTGTGCCATACACCCGGCAAGTGGGCATGGGGGGGAACACCTGCCAAGCAAAGGCCCGGCCACTTCCTGCAGCCATGGTGTTCACTACCAGTGGCAGGCCATGCTATCTGCTCAGGCTGCAGGCCTCATTGGGGGGGCATAATAAGGCCTCATCTTGATCCTGCCAGGGCTGAAGGGGGTATCTGACAAGTCCAGGGACCTCGCCTTCACCTGGAGGAGAGAGGGAAAACAAAGGGTCAGGGCCACTGACCAGCCCGTCAGGAAACAGATGAACAGCCTGTAGCTGAGGGCAAGGCTGGCCCAAATCACTGATAGGAAAGGTGGGGGAGGTCCCACCCCCTCTGGCTAGCACGTCACTGTGGAGGCCTTCCTGGAATGGGAAGGAGGACAAATTCCAGATACCCAGGCAGCTTCCCTACTTCCTATGGAGGCATAAGGGATTCTCCTTCACAACCCCTTCCCTAACAACTCAGAGCAACTCTTTCAAATCTGGGTCTAGGTGAGGGGTAAGGTGACTAGATCAGGACTCTCCTTCCTAGCCCCCTTTCTTTCCCCTCAACAATCCTCACCCTGATTTTGCATGAGAGGAGTCCTACTGTAACCTCCCCTTACTGTCTTCCAGTGTGACCTGGGAAGCCTGAGATCTAGCCATCAGGGTCCCCCTGCTGCGTCAGGGGCCAAATTCCAGGTTATCCTTTCAATACCCTTGGGGGCTATTACACAGGGTTCATCCATTCCCACCAGCATAAGACCTGGGTCCCTGTTGTTTGGGCGCATTGGACACCTAGGTTCCATACTCTTCCTCTGAGATCCACCCTCAGGGGTTTGCCCATGTGGAGTCCAGAAGGGGGGGGGGTCAGGGGGGACAGAGGGCTAATTTAGGAATCTCATGAGCACAGGACTCTAGAGTCCAAGAGTCCAGGGCGTTTCAAGCAGGAATGGGCAACTGGACTTCTGGATCCCTTAACAGTAGATCCCCAAGTTCCCCAACCTCCTCTTTTCCGTGGCGCTACACTCCTGGACCGCTGGCAGGAGGGCCTCTTGGATCCAAACTTCCAGCTCGGGGGTGGGTGGGGGGTGGAGGGGGATCTAGGCGAGCGCTGTTGGGGCTCTACGTCCTGCGCCCCAAACTTCCCCAGAGCGCAGCTCTCGCGGGACTCACCGGCCAGGGCTCCGGTGCCGCCGCCGGGGCACGGGGTCAGCTGTTCCGCCTCCGCTGACGCTGGCTCTGGCTGGAGTTGAAGGCGGGCTCCACAGGGGTTCCAGCACGGCTCCGGCGCAGGGCGGGGCTGAACCGGGTCCGCCCCCCGCCCCCCCGCCTCGCCCCCCTAGACTCGGGGAAGCCGCCGCCTGCCTTAACCCTGCACATGCCGCGGCCAGAGCAGAACGCGCCGAACCACTCTCACACACAAACTACAAAAGGACATGTGGACACCGGGCGTGCGAGGATTGAGGGTCCGACCTTAGGCGTGATAGAAATGAGGCAGCAGTGAGCGGCACAGCAAGTGCACGCATGGCGAGAGGTCGTTCTGAGCCGGACGCAGCTTGGGTGCGCCAGCGGTGGAGCCGGCTAGCAGACAATGAGGGGCCGGCGCTCGCTCCTCGCCGCTGAGCTCAGAGGGGCCCAGCGACACGCTTCGAGGCAGCGCCCCCTGTAGGCCGCTCAGGGAATGGCCTGGGCCTCTGGTGGGGGCAGCCGGCTGAGTCGCCCTTGCCCGGGCACAAAGCAGGGCACAGGATAGGTCCGGTAGTGCACATTGAGGCTAGTGGGGAATGGAGGATCAGACAGTGCCCGCCTCAGGTCCTGACAGGCTCTTCCACAGGCCTGGGTGGGGAGAATTGTTGGAGGGGTAACTCTGAGCAGGGGATGAGCTAGAAGAGTCAGAGGCTAAGGGACCTCCCCAGTGGGTCACTCTGGCCTCATCCTGTAGGGCCAGAGACCTGGGCTACTCTGGGGCCCAAGGTGCTTTGTGACAGACCATCTTTAGGGTCCTGGGCCTGTCTCTAGCCAACTCTGGAATCAAACGAGAGCAAACTGGTGCCATAGCCAGTGTGGCCTGCCCAGAGTGTGGGTAGACCCTCCCCAACACCAGGGAGAGTCTTCAGCCCTTTTCACGGGCTGGCGGTTGTAGTCAGAGGTCCTACAAGAAATGGTGGTGCTAGGGCTGGTTACAGACTGCACAGACCTTGACTAGAAGGCCTCCATCCACCCCACTTCACCACCAACTTGCTCCTCACTTGAGGCACTGGTGCCTCCCCCCACAGGGTGTTTACACTGCCCTGCAGACCCCCTCATATTTACCACTGGTCCTTTTCCAGGCCCCCTCCCCCTCCTTTCCAGCAATTAAGCACTTACAAGGCACCTGCCTTTAGATATTTTCCTCTCATCTCTCCTTTCTCCCCTCCAGTCAAACTCTTGAAGCCATCTGCCCTCACAGCCTCCACCTCCTTGTTATCTGCCACCTCAGCAGTCAGCCGCCACTATGCCCCCTCGAATTGCTCTTGCAAAAGTCACCATGGAACACCATATAGTTAAAATTAGGGGGTCCCTGTGGTCCTTGTCTCAACTAAAATCTTTCTGGTATCTTTAAAGTTTCACCCCTTGTGACCTCGGCTTCCTCCTGCTGCTTGTCCTTCCTCTCAGAATTTTTTGCAGGCCCTGTTTCCTCTCCCTCCCCAGGGAGTTACTCCTCAAGATTCAGCCCCAGCTTTTGGCTTTTCTCCGTGGCGCACATACCCTCTCCTGGGGCAATCCCTTCCCGGCCACGGCCTTCATTTACACCTAGATCACCGCCAGATCTCTGCCCAGGTGGATGTGTTCAGGTCCACTTAGGACCATATAAGATGCCGCGTTCGAGGGTGCCTCGGCTCCTCAAGATTCCCGCACAGTACTGAATAGGTTTGGAGCGATCTCTGCGGCCACCACCTCCAGGCAGCCCTCCCTGGTACCCAATCTGCCCCACCCCAGAGCTTGAGGGAAAATGGGGTCTCGGGGTCAAGGGTCAATAGGGCGGGCCGGGTCCCGGAAGCGGAAGAGCGGCTCACTTCCGGCTCGCAGCGGGCGGCCATGTTGGAGCAGCGGAGGCGGCGCAGAGGTGCGTCCTGGGTCCCCGCGGCGGCGCCGGTAGGTTGGAGCCGCGGGCCTAGCCGCGCCTTGGAGGGGCGGCCGGCGAGGCGGCAGGGCGGCCGGGCCGGCGGCTGACTCTTCCCGGATCCGCGTCTTCCGCCGGCCCGACCCGTAATAAC